ACAAGAATTCTTACAGGTCACTGTCTAATCGGCACACATGCCTCGAGATTGAGAGTGAACGCGCCAGATTACTGTCGCAGCTGCAGATGCGAAGAAGAGGAAGAGAGTGTACAGCACCTTATATGCGAGTGCCCGGCACTCTGCAGAAGATGGCTACAGACGTTCGCAAAGCCCTACAAGGCCTTGCAGAGGTATCGGAAATCAATATAAGAGCACTATCGATATTCGTCACGTTAAGGAATTGGTTTGATCCCAAGTAAGCACCGCAACATCATAGGGGAACATAGATTGCATATGGTATCACAATGGGCCTTTAGTTGGCCTAAGTGTAAGGGGGATTCACTCTCCCTAGCCATCTCAACCTAACCTATACTAGTAAACTTGGACTGAGTATTTCATGTTAAGGTAAAACCATGATAACTTAAATTTATTTTTAGCAATTTATTTATTTCATTAGAACTGCAAACTCATCCGCTACTATTCGATAAAGTTTGTATCTCAGTTCATTTGCCACTCCTCTTAGACTTTAAAAAACAAAATTTTAGCTGCTGGAAAGTGCAGGTTTTAATGCAATTTTCTTTTTTTAGGCCTACTAGGAATTTCATTTTCTTCGAGTAATTCATTTGCATTTTATCTCCACCGAGACGAATTCTTATATTTTCCGTTTGAATAGAGAAAGCCTAATTCATTACCTTTGTAGTGGTATCCTATTTTTGTAAACAGAGCAAGAAATATTGAATTTATAACGGAATTTTGTTGACCCAACTTGGCTTTTTTATCGATATTTTCCACGCCAATAACTAAAAAAAAAATATTTATTTTTAAGTCCATTTCTGTCAGTTTATAATGTTCTAAATATCAATTTTTGGCATTTTAGCCTTTGTAGTTAGTTAAATATTTCAGTTTTTGTCTTTTCAAAAATTGCAGGTGGGGTGACAGTAACTCCAAATGACCAATTTTTTGTAAAAAGCTTCGCCTGTCTTATAACGTACCTTGTGCAAAATTTCATTAATCTATCTTCAATAGTATACGAATTACAGAATTAAATGCAGCTAAATAGGTCAAATCTTACACTGTGGGACGGTGTGCGAGAAAAAAGTATTTTTTTTTTGCAGTGACGTCATTTTTTCGCCGCCATGTGAATAAAACGGAATGAAACCATATGTGTGAATAAAACAACAGAAAGCAGTTCCACGAGCAGTGGCACCTTGCATGTAAAGCATTATTCGAAAGAATTTTTTTTCCCGAAAGGCGAATTGCAGGGAAAATTTCTGAAATTGCTTTTTGCAAAAAAATGCAACCGTGAGCCGCTAAAATAAACAAATTTATAAAAGCAAGATANAACGCAAGAGAAACCTCTCCTTCTGTATAACGGCTAGGCTTACATGGCCTGCCTACAATAAAAAACGCACATCTGCACTCTTAGGGCTAAAACGCACCGAGGTATCTATTCTTACAAGAATTCTTACAGGTCACTGTCTAATCGGCACACATGCCTCGAGATTGAGAGTGAACGCGCCAGATTACTGTCGCAGCTGCAGATGCGAAGAAGAGGAAGAGAGTGTACAGCACCTTATATGCGAGTGCCCGGCACTCTGCAGAAGATGGCTACAGACGTTCGCAAAGCCCTACAAGGCCTTGCAGAGGTATCGGAAATCAATATAAGAGCACTATCGATATTCGTCACGTTAAGGAATTGGTTTGATCCCAAGTAAGCACCGCAACATCATAGGGGAACATAGATTGCATATGGTATCACAATGGGCCTTTAGTTGGCCTAAGTGTAAGGGGGATTCACTCTCCCTAGCCATCTCAACCTAACCTATACTAGTAAACTTGGACTGAGTATTTCATGTTAAGGTAAAACCATGATAACTTAAATTTATTTTTAGCAATTTATTTATTTCATTAGAACTGCAAACTCATCCGCTACTATTCGATAAAGTTTGTATCTCAGTTCATTTGCCACTCCTCTTAGACTTTAAAAAACAAAATTTTAGCTGCTGGAAAGTGCAGGTTTTAATGCAATTTTCTTTTTTTAGGCCTACTAGGAATTTCATTTTCTTCGAGTAATTCATTTGCATTTTATCTCCACCGAGACGAATTCTTATATTTTCCGTTTGAATAGAGAAAGCCTAATTCATTACCTTTGTAGTGGTATCCTATTTTTGTAAACAGAGCAAGAAATATTGAATTTATAACGGAATTTTGTTGACCCAACTTGGCTTTTTTATCGATATTTTCCACGCCAATAACTAAAAAAAAAATATTTATTTTTAAGTCCATTTCTGTCAGTTTATAATGTTCTAAATATCAATTTTTGGCATTTTAGCCTTTGTAGTTAGTTAAATATTTCAGTTTTTGTCTTTTCAAAAATTGCAGGTGGGGTGACAGTAACTCCAAATGACCAATTTTTTGTAAAAAGCTTCGCCTGTCTTATAACGTACCTTGTGCAAAATTTCATTAATCTATCTTCAATAGTATACGAATTACAGAATTAAATGCAGCTAAATAGGTCAAATCTTACACTGTGGGACGGTGTGCGAGAAAAAAGTATTTTTTTTTTGCAGTGACGTCATTTTTTCGCCGCCATGTGAATAAAACGGAATGAAACCATATGTGTGAATAAAACAACAGAAAGCAGTTCCACGAGCAGTGGCACCTTGCATGTAAAGCATTATTCGAAAGAATTTTTTTTCCCGAAAGGCGAATTGCAGGGAAAATTTCTGAAATTGCTTTTTGCAAAAAAATGCAACCGTGAGCCGCTAAAATAAACAAATTTATAAAAGCAAGATAACGAAAAATAAATGGATTTAGAAAAACATTTGAAATATGTCGATAATATCGATAGTATCGATAGTCACCCTTAAGACTATCGTAAAACATCGATGGACTTGACTATCGATAGTTTGACAGCTCTACTATAAAGCCGACATTTCCTTCGTAAATAGAGTTTTTTTTAAGGCTCTCGACGTCGTAAGCGCGCGTAAGGCGTCGACGTAAAGCGCTAACTCTGCATCAGCGTCGCGTTTGCCAATTCACATTTGCATCGTTTGAAGGCGGCTTCAGCATTAGCGTTCCATACGATGGAAGTGCGGCCGTTTTTTCAGTTTCCAGTGATGAGTTGGTGAAGGCAGGACTGGTATGACATAGCGTGCAGCAAAAACTTTCGGTAGAAGTTCACCATGGATAAGAAACTCTTCAAACCCTTAGCAGTGGTCGGCTTCGGAAAGTCCTGAATTGCAGAAACCTTCCCGGCAAGGGGTGAATGCCCCGGGCGTCGATAAGGTGTCCTAGAAATTTCAGCTCGCTTTTGCCGAACTCACATTTTGATGGGTTAATAGCGAGATGCTTTTCGCGAAGGCGTTGAAGTACTACTCTCAAGTCATGACGATGCTGTTCGCTAGACGTAGAGGCAACACAAATGTCGTCAATGTATGGGAAAACATAATCTAACCAACGCAAGGCATCGTTAATTACCCGCTGAAATGTCTGCGCAGCGTTGCACAGCCCGAACGTCATGAACTTGAATTCATATAAACCGAATGGTGTCGTAATTGCAGTCTTGGCAATGTCATCCTCGTGGATAGGCACCTGATGAAACGCGCGTTGAAGGTTGATTTTGGAAAAGATGGTCTTACCTCGCAAGAAACGCCTCGCCGCATAATTTTGGTGGGATTCTTCCCGGAGCTGGATAGCTCCAGGAATGAGGACGCGCTACTACTTCTTCAGGGGCAGAATGAAGGCCTGAAAATAATGGACTGGCGAGTTCTAAATCGGGTGCGCAAGTCCACAGTGGTAGAAATCACCATTGCGGTAGACCCGATCTCGGCAGACATCCTCAAACAGAGAGGAAATGTTGTCAACTATGGCTACGGTACGGTCAAGTTGAGGGAGAAAGCCAAGCCGTTGGTACCAGTGGTAGCAAAGGACGCCGCTGATACCGATGGAACGGGCACGGACGAACAACCCTGTTGTTCGAAGTCTGTCACCGTCGCCCCGAGGCAGCTCTCAACAGACCTTCAAGCACAGAAGCAGCAATCATCGGAGCTGGAAAAGACAAAGCCGCCGCCTGAGCTGTCAGTAGCTCAAGCCAGCGTGGCATCGCCTCCGCGACCCACAGCAACATCGGTCCTGACCCTGTAGCAGGTGCTAGACAGAGCCCAACAAAATGTCAGGCCCATTGAGCTCCCCCGGAACATAATTAGGCCACCACTACATGGCAGTTCCAAAGCGGCTACTCAAAGCGGCTACTGAACAGCCGAGGAGAAGACCTTGCGGGGTAGAAATAGCGGGAAGAAGGTGGCTGCTCGCGGCCGTAAAGACCGCAAATAATGCCATCTCTCCCTAAGCCCAACGCAAACTCGAGGCATCTGAAATGCCTCCAAGTGAATCTTCATCATGCCAAGGCAGCGTCAGCTGTTCTCTGCAGGAGGTTCACTAACGAGGGTCTAGGTATAGCCTTCATCCAGGAACCCTGGATACTACGCGGTGAGGTCAAAGGTCTGAACGTCAATGATGGTAAGATCATATATGCCCCCAGCCCTCGCCCAAGGGCGGCGATGCTATTAAGCAAAAAACTAACGTTTCTTCCTCTATTACAGTTCATGACGGCGGATCTGGTTGCAGTTTGGACCGAAATTCCCACTCCAAGGGGTGTACAAGAGGCAGTACTTGCCTCAGCGTACTTTCCGGGTGAGGAGGAGATGGCCCCAACAGCAGAAGTAAAGGCTTTCGTTGAGCACTGCCAGCAGAGTGGTAAACCCTGGATCCTCTGCTGTGACGCCAATTCACATAACACTGTTTGGGGCAGCACCGATACCAACAAAAGGGGTGAGTACCTCCTCGAGTTTATTAGTAGTCATAATATAAATATTATAAATCGTGGCAATGAACCGACTTTTAGAAATGCTTTAAGGGGGGAGGTCTTGGATCTAACTCTAAGCAGTCAAAACATGTCATCATCTGTCACAAACTGGCGTGTCTCCGGGGAGGTATCAATGTCGGACCACATGCATATAGAATTCGACATGGGTCTCTTTCCTGAACACGAACTAGTTTTCAGAAATCCCAGGAAAGCGAACTGGGAACTCTTCCGCTTTACTAAAGAAGAGGGCGGAAACAGCCCCAAACACCCCATTACAACCAAACAGGAGCTTGAGAATGAAGCTGAACAGCTTCACTCAGATATTGTAATAGCTTTCAACAGCAGTTGCCCCCAAGGAAAGGTAAAATCCAAACGAGATGTGCCTTGGTGGAGTAAGAAGCTTGAGCAAATGAGATGCCAGGCCAGAAGACTATTCAATAGAGCAAAAAATACGGGTGATTGGAATCCGTATAAACTTGCGCTAACTTACTACAAGGAGCTAAGGAAATCCAAACGAGCTAGCTGGCGAAACCACTGTGAGGAAATAAATAGCCTTCCAGAGGCAGTACGCCTCCAAAAACCTCTAACAAGGGATTACAGGAATACAATTGCCACCCTTAAGAGACCAGATGGGAGCTACACTCAGCATCCGGGTGAAACCAGCAGACCCTTGCTGGATACTCACTTCCCTCGCTGTATATCAGGCTACTGTCGACCAGAATTGGGTGCTCCAACATCCACCTCTAGAAGAGAACAAAGCCTTGCTACCAAGCTGTCCACTGTCGAGCGGGTGCAATGGGCTTTATCAACATTCAGCCCATACAAATCACCAGGACCGGATGGAATCTATCCATGTCTCCTGCAGCATGGAATTAGACACATAGCGCCGGTCCTTTCTAAACTCTATAGAGCTTCGCTCTTGTTGGGTCACATTCCCAGCATATGGTCTGAGGTTAAGGTCGTGTTTCTACCCAAAATGGGTAAGCCGGAACAATTACCGTCATCCTACCGACCAATTAGCCTCAGTTCCTTTCTTCTAAAAGGCATGGAGAAAATACTGGATCAGTANGTTTTCTTCTAAGAGGCATGGAGAAAATACTGGATCAGTACATCAGAGAAGTCAACCTAAGG